AGCCAACTCTCCTGCTATCTCTCTCAGAATGACCTTCTTGATCCAACCAGTCAGGTTTCAAGACTGGTCATTCAACTGAGATTGCTCTTCTCTGTGTCACGGAGGCTCTCCGCACTGCTAAAGCTAACTCTCTCTCCTCTGCTCTTATCCTTCTAGACCTATCCGCTGCCTTTGATACTGTGAACCATCAGATCCTCATCTCCACCCTCTCCAAGTTGGGCATCTCCGGTGCTGCTCACTCTTGGATTGTGTCCTACCTGACAGGTCGCTCCTACCAGGTGGCGTGGCGAGAATCTGTCTCCACACCACGTGCTCTCAACACTGGTGTCCCCCAGGGCTCAGTTCTAGGCCCTCTCCTATTCTCTCTATACACCAAGTCACTTGGCTCTGTCATATCCTCACATGGTCTCTCCTATCATTGCTACGCAGACAACACAATTAATTTTCTCCTTTCCACCTTCTGATAACCAGGTGACGAATCGCATCTCTGCATGTCTGGCAGACATATCAGTGTGGATGTCGGATCACCACCTCAAGCTGAACCTCGGCAAGACAGAGCTGCTCTTCCTCCCGGGGAAGGACTGCCCGCTCCATGATCTCGCCATCACGGTTGACAACTCCGTTGTGTCCTCCTCCCAGAGTGCAAAGAACCATGGCGTGACCCTGGACAATACCCTGTCGTTCTCCGCTAACATCAAAGCGGTGACCCGATCCTACAGGTTCATGCTCTACAACATTCGCAGAGTACGACCCTACCTTACACAGAAAGCGGCACAGGTCCTAATCCAGGCACTTGTCATCTCCCGTCTGGATTACTGCAACTCACTGTTGGCTGGGCTCCCTGCCTGTGCCATTAAACCCCTTCAACTTATCCAGAACGCTGCAGCCCATCTGGTGTTCAACCTTCCCAAGTTCTCTCATGTCACCCCGCTCCTCCGCACACTCCACTGGCTTCCAGTTGAGGCTCGCATCTACTACAAGACCATGGTGCTTGCCTACGGAGCAAATAAGTATTTGACCCCTCTGCAAAACATGACTTAGTACTTGGTGGCAAAACCCTTGTTGGCAATCACAGAGGTCAGACGTTTCTTGTAGTTGGTACCAGGTTTGCACACATCTAAGGAGGGATTTTGTCCCACTCCTCTTTGCAGATCTTCTCCTAGTCATTAAGGTTTCGAGGCTGACGTTTGGCAACTCGAACCTTCAGCTCCCTCCACAGATTTTCTATGGGATTAGGGTCTGGAGACTGGCTAGGCCACTCCAGGACCTTAATGTGCTTCTTCTTGAGCCACTCCTTTGTTGCCTTGGCCGTGTGTTTTGGGTCATTGTCATGCTGGAATACCCATCCACGACCCATTTTCAATGCCCTGGCTGAGGGAAGGAGGTTCTCACCCAAGATTTGACGGTACATGGCCCCGTCCATCGTCCCTTTGATGCGGTGAAGTTGTCCTGTCCCCTTAGCAGAGAAACATCCCCAAAGCATAATGTTTCCACCTCCATGTTTGACAGTGGGGATGGTGTTCTTGGAGTCATAGGCAGCATTCCTCCTCCTCCAAACACGGCGAGTTGAGTTGATACCAAAGAGCTCGATTTTGGTCTCATCTGACCACAACACTTTCACCCAGTTCTCCTCTGAATCATTCAGATGTTCATTGGCAAACTTCAGACAGGCCTATATATGTGCTTTCTTGAGCAGGGGGACCTTGCGGGCGCTGCAGGATTTCAGTCCTTCACGGCGTAGTGTGTTACCAATTGTTTTCTTGGTGACTATGGTCCCAGCTGCCTTGAGATCATTGACAAGCTCCTTCCGTGTAGTTCTGGGCTGATTCCTCACCGTTCTCATGATCATTGCAACTCCACGAGGTGAGATCTTGCATGGAGCCCCAGGCCGAGGGAGATTGACAGTTATTTTGTGTTTCTTCCATTTGTGAATAATCGCACCAACTGTTGTCACCTTCTCACCAAGCTGCTTGGTGATGGTCTTGTAGCCCATTCCAGCCTTGTGTAGGTCTACAATCTTGTCCCTGACATCCTTGGAGAGCTCTTTGGAGAGTTTGGAATCTGATTGATTGATTGCTTCTGTGGACAGGTGTCTTTTATACAGGTAACAAGCTGAGATTAGGAGCACTCCCTTTAAGAGTGTGCTCCTAATCTCAGCTCGTTACCTGTATAAAAGACACCTGGGAGCCAGAAATCTTTCTGATTGAGAGGGGGTCAAATACTTATTTCCCTCATTAAAATGCAAATCAATTTATAACATTTTTGACATGCCTTTTTCTGGATTTTTTTGTTGTTATTCTGTCTCTCACTGTTCAAATAAACCTACCATTAAAAATATAGGCTGATCATTTCTTTGTCAGTGGGCAAATGTACAAAATCAGCAAGGGATCAAATTCTTCTTTCCCTCACTGTATGGGGGTGTAGTAAGATACCCAATGGGCTGGACGATTCTCTTCTCATCATTCATCTTGAAAAAACGTATATTTAAAACTTAGAAAATAATCAATCTGCCATCATTAACACAATGGAAAAATCTAATGATTTATTATTGAAATATTGAAATAGCATGGGCGACCGAGAAAAACAAATTGGTACGATTTAAGGCTAAGTGGCAAACAATAAGGAACATGGGATGGGGGTGTGAGCATGCAGGTCTTTAGTTAGATGTAGAATTGCTCGACTAAGGGCTCTATTCAATCCGCATCGCGGAAGTTTAGCTCTACAACTTCATTGACATTTTAAGGCAATGTTCCCGCTTTAGTGGAAACTGCATTCACGGTAAATGCTGCCTATGTCGGCTCAATCGGAAATTACCTTTACATTTCTGTCGCGGAATCTGTAATGCTTCAGCTTTATGGATTGAATAGAGCCCTAAGACCTCCTCAGAAAAAACGTCAAAATTAATCACAGATTTCTGGATATATCTAAGATTAATTCTAACTATTTTGAGGAAGTGTATACTGACTATGTTGTTGCTATGGCGCATTTTTTCTCTCGTTTATCATGCGAAGGTATTTTAAAGGAGTATGTGAGGCACAAACGTTCACGTCGCCTTGCCGAGTTCTGCTAGGAGCAAACCGAACCTAGCATGTCGACGCCTTTTGGCTACGTTTACATAGGCAGCCCAATTCTGATTCTTTTTCCACTAATTGGTTTATGTACAAATCAGATCAGCTCTTTTGCCAATAATTGGGCAAAAGATCAGAATTCAGCTGCCCGTGTAAACACAGCCTAAATGGCAGGTATAATCCAAAAAAGAAGACCTTAGTGAAAACCTTAGTGAACTATGAACAAAATATTTACAAAAATGTATACAGAGCAGATCATTAGCCTATTGAGTAACATTACATGATGCATTACGCATTATGTATTGCGTCCTGCTGTAACATTATTCAATAGGCCGATTTGCTCTAATATCTTAGTAAATATTTGGTTAATAGTTCACTAAAGTTTTATGCATCAAACTGGCCTTCTTTTGTGTTTTCTTTTTGGATTATACCATGAAGAACACATAGCTAAAGGCTAGAGGTGTACAGGCATGCAGTGAACACCCCTTCGACGCACACAGCAAGATAAATGACACGTAAAAATATATATATTTTAATAAGCACATTTTGAAGAATGACACACAGAGGAGTGTGAACAGTTAAATTATATTTATTTAAAGTAAGATGATGTTAGGTCTGCAGAGGGACAGAGGAGATACCCAGAGATTCCCTGTCGGATTGTTTCCGACTTTCAGATATTCAGAGAAGCACAAAAACGCAGCATTGAACCAAATGCAATTATTGGAACAGTTGGCTCCCATGTGCACCTACTTTCTGGTATATGACATAATCTCTGCCGACCTCACATCCGAAATAAGACTAATTTAATATCACTTTTATTCATAAAAAAAAGTGAATTATTATAATTATAGAAAGAAAAGACCACTTGCACACTTGGGGGAGTTATAGTATTGCTTCAAATAGCATTAGCTGAAGAAGTGGCATGTTGAAAATAAAAACTAGGTGGTTGTTTTTTTCACACAACCAAACACTTGTCCTCTCCTGAGGGATATACTACAAAGCAGGCTCAATGAGTTGGCCAGCTAACTTGCCCAAATATTCTGAAATAACTTACATTGTTTTTAGAAATATACTTTTGAAATGGCATGGTCTAATTGACTTAACAACCAAAAACACATCTAAAATTTGAATTTCTTAATTAACCAGAAAATCAAAAGTTATTTCTGGTTGTTAATCAAAGTTAGCTGGCTAACTCATTGATCCTACTTTGTAGTATACCCCTCTGTTCAGGCTCCACACACTGAGCTGTAAAACTAATCTGAGATGTCTCTATCTCCCTACATGGGGCTAAAATACTACAAACATAAACATAAATAACAACACAGTAATTTGGCATTTTTACAAAACACAGCTTCAAGAGTCCATCCAGTGTCCGCTTTTCCATTCTGGGTTCTGAAAATGAAAGCAACGACAACAATAACAACAACATAAAGGAGAGCTTTCTGTGGCCGGAGAGAAGGGTGGACAGGAGAAAGAGGGGCAGACAGGAGACAGAGGGAATGGAAACTCTGTGTCGGTTTTGTTGGTCCCTGCATCAGACCTCCCCAGAAGACTGGCTGGCTGTCCTTCACGTGTAGCATCTTCCGTGTTTTGTGTCCGTGTTAAGTCTCCTCTCTGTCCATGTGTTGAGTGGAGAGGCTGAGGTGAGTACAGGTGGCTAAGTCTCCTCTCTGGCTGAAGTGAGGGGAGTACTGTAGTGGACAGACAAAGAGGTATGTAGTACTGCTGGTCTGTAGTGGGCAGACAAATTGGTCTGTAGTCTTTAAGTCTTTCTCAACAGGGTCGGAGAAATCAAGAAGTCCACCTCAGATGACATGTGCCATAGAATCTGCACACAGTCACACACACTCGCACATGCACAAACATTCCTCTATGAACAGTACACAGTTGCTTTCTATTTTTCCACACACACAACCCCCCCCCCGTGGCTCCCTAAGTGGTAAGTTCATCCCCATCGGCCTCCTGCTTGGTCCTTCTCAGGTTGCTCTTCATCTTCACAAACTCAGGGGTGTTCTCCTGCTCCTCCTCATCCTTCTGCTGGTCCAGCTCAAGCTTAACACACAAGATAGAGAAGTAAGATAGGTTACAGTGAGGGAAAAAAGTATTTGATCCCCTGCTGATTTTGTATGTTTGCCCACTGACAAAGAAATGATCAGTCTATAATTTTAATGGTAGGTTTATTTGAACAGTGAGAGACAGAATAACAACAAAACAATCCAGAAAAACGCATGTCAAAAATGTTATAAATTGATTTGCATTTTAATGAGGGAAATAAGTATTTGACCCCCTCTCAATCAGAAAGATTTCTGGCTCCCAGGTGTCTTTTATACAGGTAACGAGCTGAGATTAGGAGCACACTCTTAAAGGGAGTGCTCCTAATCTCAGCTTGTTACCTGTATAAAAGACACCTGTCCACAGAAGCAATCAATCAATCAGATTCCAAACTCTCCACCATGGCCAAGACCAAAGAGCTCTCCAAGGATGTCAGGGACAAGATTGTAGACCTACACAAGGCTGGAATGGGCTACAAGACCATCACCAAGCAGCTTGGTGAGAAGGTGACAACAGTTGGTGCGATTATTCACAAATGGAAGAAACACAAAATAACTGTCAATCTCCCTCGGCCTGGGGCTCCATGCAAGATCTCACCTCGTGGAGTTGCAATGATCATGAGAATGGTGAGGAATCAGCCCAGAAATACACGGGAGGATCTTGTCAATGATCTCAAGGCAGCTGGGACCATAGTCACCAAGAAAACAATTGGTAACACACTACGCCGTGAAACTCTGAAATCCTGCAGCACCCACAAGGTCCCCCTGCTCAAGAAAGCACATATACAGGGCCGTCTGAAGTTTGCCAATGAACATCTGAATGATTCAGAGGAGAACTGGGTGAAAGTGTTGTGGTCAGATGAGACCAAAATGGAGCTCTTTGGCATCAACTCAACTCGCCGTGTTTGGAGGAGGAGGAATGCTGCCTATGACCCCAAGAACACATTTTTACATTTACATTTTAGTCATTTAGCAGACGCTCTTATCCAGAGCGACTTACAGGAGCAATTAGGGTTAAGTGCCTTGCTTAAGGGCACATCGACAGATTTTTCACCTAGTCGGCTCGGGGATTAGAACCAGCGACCTTTCGGTTACTGGCACAACGCTCTTACCCACTAAGCTACCTGCCGCCCCCACTGTCACACATGGAGGTGGAAACATTATGCTTTGGGGATGTTTTTCTGCTAAGGGGACAGGACAACTTCACCGCATCAAAAGGACGATGGACGGGGCCATGTACTGTCAAATCTTGGGTGAGAACCTCCTTCCCTCAGCCAGGGCATTGACAATGGGTCGTGGATGGGTATTCCAGCATGACAATGACCCAAAACACACGGCCAAGGCAACAAAGGAGTGGCTCAAGAAGAAGCACATTAAGGTCCTGGAGTGGCCTAGCCAGTCTCCAGACCTTAATCCCATAGAAAATCTGTGGAGGGAGCTGAATGTTCGAGTTGCCAAAAGTCAGCCTCGAAACCTTAATGACTTGGAGAAGATCTGCAAAGAGGAGTGGGACAAAATCCCTCCTGAGATGTGTGCAAACCTGGTGGCCAACTACAAGAAACGTCTGACCTTTGTGATTGCTAACAAGGGTTTTGCCACCAAGTACTAAGTCATGTTTTGCAGAGGGGTCAAATACTTATTTCCCTCATTAAAATGCAAATAAATGTATAACATTTTTGTCATGCGTTTTTCTGGATTTTTTTGTTGTTATTCTGTCTCTCACTGTTCAAATAAACCTACCATTAAAATTATAGACTGATCATGTCTTTGTCAGTGGGCAAACGTACAAAATCAGCAGGGGATCAAATACTTTTTTCCCTCACTGTACATGTAAGTACAAGTACATTTTAGTGTGTGTGTGTGCATGTGTGTGTGTGTGATCCCCAACTGCCCTCTCCCTCTCCCTTTTCTCAAATGCTGTCGGTCTGTCTATCTTTACAGTGTTGGGTGTGTATGAGTAACACTGTGTGTGTGTGTGTGTGTGTGAGAGAGAATGTGTGTCTACCTGTTCTAGTTTCTGTTGTCTCTTCATGAGTTCAATCTCCAGGTCGCTCCTCTTGGTGTGGGCCTCCTGCTCCTCCCTCTGAGCCTTGAGAACTTGCTCTCTCTTCCTCTTCTCCAGAACCTTCTGGAGCTCCGGTTTGTTCTGGGGAGCCAGGCCCCTAGGAGAAACAACCAATCACAGATGTTATTATACTTCTTCCACAGCCAATGACAAGGCACTTTACTTACACAGACACAAACACAACTAGCCATTGATCTGATTACAGTTTGTACTTGGACAGAGACAGGCAGTTCTACATTGATTTATCCATCACTTCATATTTCAGAGAAAGTTACATAAAGCTGAGCCATCCCAGATTAGCCCACATCCAGTAATCTGAGGCAGGCTGGGGGCCATGGCTGGACTGGACAGGAATTGGCATTGGGATTAGGAGATTGAGATTATGTGATGAAATGTATGATGGCGGCGGGTCTTGACTTGACCATACACACAGATCAGTGTTGAGACACAAAATTAGTGAATATCAATCAATCAAATGTATCCGCCTGTCTACAAATCATATCATCCTCTTTCCTAATATAGCTATCCCTTTCTTTCATTCCAAATTCTGAAAAGGGATTTGAGCTGTCCCCTCTGCCAGAGATGTGTTCCGGAGACTCTTATCTCCCTCACTAACTTTAAGCATCAGTTGTCAGAGCACCTTGCCGATCACTGGACCTGTACACAGCCCATCTGGATTTAGCCCACCCAACTACTTCATCCCTATATTGTTATTTATTTTGCTCATTTGCACCCCGGTATCTCTATTTGCACATCATCTCTTGAACATCTATCATTCCAGTGTTAATACTAATTGTAATTATTTTGCACTATAGCCTATTTATTGCCTTACCTCCATAACTTGCTACATTTGCACACACTGTATATATATTTTCTGTTGTATTTTTTGACTTTATGTTTTGTTTTACCCCATATGTAACTCTGTGTTGTTGTTTTTATCGCACTGCTTTGCTTTATCTTGGCCAGGTCGCAGTTGTAAATGAGAACTTGTTCTCAACTGGCTTACCTGGTTAAATAAAGGTGAAATTAAAAAATAAATTAAAAAATGAAACGGGCATTTCCATTTTGTTGTTATGCTACTGTGTAAAGTTTGGGTTTCATGATTCAGATATTAAATCTGAAAGAGGAGTGGGCCATCTGAGTACAAACAACTATTAGTGAGATGACTACAATATTCCCATAATATTTTTTAAAAATCGGAACGCTGAAACACTCTTGTTTTTACTTAATTTATACAGTGTCTAATTACGTTATTGCCCTGGTTTCAACTTAAAAGGTTGTTCAGTAGGACAAAAACAGGAGAAGGTAAATGAGTGTTCTGAATAGATTATATCTAATAGGATAGAATAGTGTGTGGTGTGCATGTGTGTGTTATATATAGCCTGACCTCCATCACTGTACATTTTAACTTTTTTTCTTCCTGACCTGAGTAAGTGATTTCAGAAGAGGTTAAATTATAGACTCAAAGATGCAGTTTTAACCGTTTTTTCTCTGTGCACACGCGCATGTATGTGTGACAGAACATCATAGGTAGTTGAGAAGAGTGAGAGACCCTCTGAGGGGTATGGTGTTCTAATCCTCCTTGCACAACGTTCCCTTCCATCCATCTCTCTCTCTCAACCATCCATCTCTCTCATCATCACTACTCCGCTACACCCCAAACATTTCTCTCCATCCCCTTCCTCTCCTTCTCCTCTCAATAATATTATCTCCTTCTTTTCTCCTCCGGATCTCTCGTCCCCTATCCTCTCTCTTATGTATTTTCCCCCTCATCTCCTCCACAAAGAATACTAAAACCCTGTCAAAACATCTCCTCTTTCATATCACTTCTAAATCATATATATGTATACCTCATACCAACACTGAAACACACATAACACAAACACAATCCTTGTCCATCTCTATTTCACCCCTAACCCACTCCCTCCATCTCTCTCCCCTCTCCCTCCATCCCTCCATACTCCAGAGCCCTGTGTTCATGTCCATAATCCACATGGTTCTGTGCAGCGTGCTAACAGACAGGGCACAGTGATGTAACATCTGTCAACAGTACACACTGTGTTTGTGTGTGTGTGTTTATATATAGCTTAGTAACAAGGCCTTGGGCATTTGTCCATTTAGCATGAGAAAAGACTTGAGCCTCAGCACTGAGGCTGTCAAACACACGCACACACAGTCACAAATGAACGCAAATGAGCATTCACGCATAACCAGTGTGATTTGCTGCCACAGTCCATTCTGTGACTTACATCTTCCCCAGTGGCAACTGAAGGTACTACAAAAACATTCAACCCCCCCAAAAAATACAAAATACAATTCTGAATTTACCAAGACCCACCCATTTATTTTACCCACCCGCTCAGTGCAGAGGCAGAACTTTTCACCGGAAACACAAGTTATAGATTGTAAAAGTTATAGATTGTGATTGTTGTGTGCTTCTGTGTTGCTATAATAATATTGAAAGTGTTTGGGCAGGAGGAACATTTCCGTGCAGTAAGAGCATGTTTTTACGTAATAGTTCTGAGACAGCAGAATGCACTAAAGGTTTTATATAATAGTTCTTATTAAAGTTTCATGCATTAAGGTTTACATAACAGTACTGTGATGCATCTCCCCCGGTGGTACCCCCGATACAGGATGTCATAGCATAGCAACACAATGCAGTAGAACGCTGTCACACACTCCTAACAACAGAGCTAGGATCAGCTGACTAAACCCTCTATCCTAATCTTAACCAATAGATGGAGGACAACCTATCTGACCCCGAGTAAACAATGGATTACAAACAGAAACAGTAGGCGATCATAAACCTCTGATAGATCACACAGTCAAGATTCTGAGTTGAATATAAGGTTATAAACTGTTCATAACCACCATTGGCTTGGATCTCATCCATCCTCAGTAGGGGCCAGGATTTATGTCTACATTAACACAGTGATAAGCCCTGTGTGGGTCAGTCAATGGAAGATAAAATTGTGTTTATCTTCCATTGATGAATAGAAACTTGTTTACAGTTTCCCTCTTTTGAGTAAGACAAGGATCACCCGGATATAGACAACTGAGAAAGAAAATGCAGTAGAAACAGGAGAAATGGAGGGGAAGAAGGAGAAGTGAAGTGTGTGTTGTGTTGCCCCAGTGTCGCCCCCAGTCCCCTCACCTCTTTTGGTTCATCATGAGTTCTCGATGGAGGTCCTGGTGGTTTCTGGAGCCCTTGACTGGGTTCAACAGCTTCTTGGGTTTGATCAGCTCCTCACAGTCCCCCTCCAGATAGTCCGGCTCAGCCATCACACTCCTGCCCAGAGACAGAGACAGACCTGGGTCCACACACCGATCTGAGGGGATGCATTATGTTATTAGTTATTTATTATACATCTTGATTGATTTACTACTGTAATGGTTAACTACACAAGCACACACTCAAGCTCTCTCACACACACACACATTCTAAAATCACGCCTCACACTAGACACAATTACATGCAGCTGTTTTAAGACACTGTGTGTTTCTGTGCCCAGACATTAAGACCCCCACTACTGATGGCAGAGTCTTGAGTTACATAATCATTCCATTCCACCACAGGAATGTTCTATCCTCCATAAGGAGAACAATATCTGCATACAGACAGACTGCTCTCACTGCAGGTCTCTCAAATACCACTCTGAGAACAACAATAGAAACATATACAAATCTCCACTTCTTTGTATGGATATTCTTTACTTAAAATACCATACAGATATTGCATTAGGCTACTTTATTACACACATACAATACTAGTTGCTAAGCTAATCAGACATCAATCATCAAACAGGGAGTTCATCTCATGACCTATTCTCACAAACTGCTTTGAATATCCAAATATAAAGGCTACACATTTCCATGTCATACATTTAGTAATCTATTCAGATCATCAGAGTACAATTTCCTGCAGCCACCAAATGAATGAGTGCTATGTATGGATAGTAACCTATTTGTAGGATGTTCTATCTATTTTATACAGCCTACAGCTGATTTGTGTGTCCAATACCATTTTCCCCTTGGAGACAATCCATTGTATTTGGAAACTCATTATAGAACATGAAATATGGCTAGCCCAACACAGATAACGTCATAACGCCACAACTACTGACAATCAGGATAAAAGTAACCACACAGACATGCAAAAATCCAATCCAGTATCCATTCATTACCATAGCCAGGTATAAAAAGTTATGAGATACACTTACATCGGTAAAACATATGCATAATAAGACCGGCTAGAAGGCATTTTCATCAAACAACGCACATTTTTACAAACTCTCCAACTTACCCTGCATGAGGTGAGGAAAAACTGGTATTCTACACATAGTCGCCATCTGGACTATTGATTTAATAATAATAATAATAATAATAATAATAATAATAATAATAGTGGTACTGTAATATCAGTAGCCTAGTATGACCTCTGGACAGGAGAGGAGAAGAGAAAACAGAGGAGCTCCTGCTGATCTGTGTTCACGCAGCTGTCCTACTGAGGGGAGTGGAGCCGCTGGTAGGAATGAGCTTTGATGAGATGCACTATTATCTAATAGCAGCCCACTACACACACACTCTCCTCACACACACCCTCCCCTCTCTCTCTCTCTCTCTCTCACACACACACACACACACACACACACACACACACACACACACACACACACACACACACACACACACCCTGGAAACGTCAAACAACTTTCCATTTATGAAGAAACCGACAACAAGCTATTCTCTTTCTCAGAGTTCAAAGGTGAGCTAGGTGAGTAATTGGCTGCATTCCAATGTGTATGGGTTTCTATGAATAAGTAGCCTAGGACAAAGGTACTCTGAGATGTTAGAACTGTGTGCATTACTTAGGTAACAGGAACAATTCATAGCCTATGACACAAGAAGCATTTCTCAGAATGGATCATCAGCATCGTGCAGTGTAGGCTAAAGGGCCAAAAACAACCCATCTGAGATATAGTCCTGCAGCCTACTTCATCATAAAAAAATAAAAAAACATAAGTTCTAAACTTCATAAATTGAAAGTTGAGTCTGTGTGTAAGCCTGTGTGTTGAAGGTACAACAACAATAAAAACATCACTGACACTGGGATACAGCGAGCATGTAGCTGTAATACTGTATGCACCATTAAAAACAAATAACCTGAGGAGATGTAATGCTTCTATCTCACCAGTAGAGCTCGCCGCTGCCTCACATCCCAGAGAAGACCATAACAAAGAGCCAGTTACATAACAAAGAGATTGATAAACAACCATGTCTCCCACATGTTTTGAATGGGGGTTTTCTCTTGATGAGGGCCAGATGTACTGAGCATTTGCATGAGAGGAAGAGTCGATAAATAATTTACATGAGAGTAACATCCTCAGAGAGGCACAGTCGACAAAGAAAAACGGAAATATGTTATTTAGATCCCATTAAGTGAGAGATGAGACTACTGCGTTTTACACCATGTGGGGGTATAAATGTGCAGACATTGCACTTGAACAAAACAAAACGTTTTGTCGTCATAAATTAAATATAACCCGTGTTTTTCACATGAAGGCAATAGTGTGTGTGTCAAGGTGCTGTGTTTAGGTGTGGTGTGGAATCAGGCGCAGGCAGCAGAGGGTAAGTCCAACACGACTTTACTTAGCACAAAATAATCCACAACAGCCCGGAGGCAAAAAAGACGCACACAGGCGTAATGCAAGCGCACACAAAGGTGCGTAAAACTCTCCTAACAACAAGGAGGAAACTACGGAAAAATAGCGTACCGTAACAGGTAGCGCAACCACGACACGAACAATCACACACAACACAAACCTAACAACAAGGAAACTAAATAGGGTGCTAAACGAGACCTAACACAAAACAGGTGTGACTAACAGACAAAACCAAACAAACACGAAACATCGAGCGGTGGCAGCTAGAACTCCGGAGACGACGACCGGCACTGAACAGAGACCGCCTGAAACACAACCCCTGACGGTAGGCGCCTGGCGCACCGGAGACACGA